GCTCATGGCAGCACACGTTGGGTGCCAACTGATGTTCCCCACCTCGCACAGCCCCCTGAATATCGGGCTAGCCCAGAGGTCCGAGGCTGTGAGGGGAGGAATGTCAGGAGATGGCAAAGATTCCCAAAAGAGGCTCTTACCCCAGATATGTTGGTTCAGCTCTCTTTATTCTGTGGTGTCCAAGGGGAGAGTGGGGCAAAAGAGGACAAAGAGGAAATGTCAGGGGTCTATATAGACTTTGGACAGGGTGGGCTTCCCTGGCTCTCCCGCTGGGGCAGGAAGGAGGGGTCCAGGGTTATCAGATCAGAGTCACAGGGAATGGGGAAGGGGGAACAGAGTGCCCATGAGCTCACTGTGACATCTAAGGCCCTGGCTAACAAGATCCTCCCGGGCCTTTTTGCACATCCCTCGGCACAAATATTGCAGCTCCCACCGCCCCGGGCTGGGCTGCGAGGCAGGAGACACGGCAGGGGCCAGGGGGAATTGGGCTGGGTTTGCCAGAGCAGCCACAGGGCTGGTGAGGGATGGGTTGGATCGGGCAGGGATGGGAGGTCAGCGGTGGAGATCACTCAGGGATGAGGGACTGATGGTCTGGGTCTGGATCTGGCTCAATGGTCTGGATTGGGCAGGGATGAGGGATTGATGGTCTGGATCACTCAGGGATGAGGGATTGATGGTCTGGGTCTGGATCTGGATCAAGCTCAATGGTCTGGATCACTCAGGGAAGGGGGATTGATGGTCTGGGTCAGGATTTGGATCTGGCTCAGTGGTCTGGATCAGACAGGGATGGGGGATTGATGGTCTGGATTGGATCAGTTGCGATGATCTGGATCAGGCAGGGATGGGGGGGTCAGTGATGGGGACCACTCAGGGATGAGGGATTGATGGTCTGGATCTGGCTCAGCGGTCTGGATTGGGCAGGGATGGAGCATTGATGGTCTGGGTCCAGATCTGGATCAAGCTCAATGGTCTGGATCACTCAGGGATGGGGGATTGATGGTCTGGGTCTGGATCAGGTTCAATGGTCTGGATCAGGCAGGGATGGGGGATTGATGGTCTGGTTCCATCAGAGATGGGGGGTCAGCAGTCTGGATCTGGATCAGGCTGGATGGTCTGGCCCTGGCAGGGATCAGGGGTCCCTGGCCTGGCTCCATCAGGGATCAGGGGTCCCTGGCCTGGTCCTGGCAGGGATCAGGGGTCCCTGGCCTGGTCC